GCAGCCCCGCCCCGGCGGGCCAGCCCTGGGGAGCCGGTCCCCGGCGTCATCCCCACGGAGGATGCGCTCCCCAGAACAGACTGCCTTCCTGCTACCCTGGGTCTCAAAGTGGTGGGCAGAGATCACCCCTGGAGGCCCACACAGCGGGGAGGGGGCGTGGGGGGGCACTCGCCAGAGGCGGAGCGCGAGTGCACTGGGGGGCTCTTCCCACAGGCCGCTTAGCTTCCTTCAAATTCCCAGTGTCTGTGACATCTTACCCACCTCCCCCAGCTCAAAACTGCCCGCTTGCAATTTAGAGATGAAGGCAAGTCACAGAACCTACAACGATTATTTAAAACGTTAAATAAACACAGACGTGAAGTGATAGTAAGTTCAGAGACCTAGTTTTCACAGGCGAATGTCCTGCGCAGGGAAGAGCAATCAGAAGGTGAGTCTTGCTTTGGGGAGCGCGTCTAGACGCCAGGCTGTTTGATTAAGCGCTACCTGGCCCGAGGTGGGGCACCGGAAGGCGGTGAGACTGACACGCCAGCAAGATCAGGTTTGAAATGCAAACCGCCGCCACTTGGCCCCAATTAGAGGCCAACCCTTTTATGTAAACAAGGAATAATTAGCTTTGGTAATAGAAGCGTAAACAGAATCATCATCCATTGATTCGCTAATTGCCTTTCTGTCCCGTGACAATAGCCTATAGGTCAGACTTACACCCCACGCACCTGAGGCGCAAGTAAAGGAGGACTGCCCTCTAAAATCGGGGGTTGGTGTCCCCCTACTTATTCCCCCGGCACTCCCTTCTCAACCCTTGCCTAGGTCCGGCTGGCGCTCAGATTTTCTTTGTAGCTGTAAATGCAGCTCTTTTAAAAGTAGGAAATGCGGGGCTCACCTATTTGGGTGCCAAAGCCCTGGTGATGGCCTGAAGGGTTCAAGCAGCTGCAGAAAAGGAACGGCAGATCCTAGGAGCTAGGATCATTACATTCCTAGACACTGTAATTGCTCAAAGAGTTGCCTATCTTCAGCCCAGAACTTGCCACCCCCAAAGTCCCCTTCTTGGAAGCAGTTGCCCCCCTCATCCTCCCAGTGCTTTCATGTTCCAGAGACAAGTTATGTGAACCCCACTCATGTGAGGCACAGTAGTGAGACTCTCAGGTTGCAAGATGGCTTGAGAGTTACCCAGAGGCCAGTACACCCTCTAACCCCACTACAATCCATGGGCATGCCCAGCGTGCATGGGGACCAGCAGAAACTTCACATGGAAGCACCTGGGGGCAATGCAATGCCACCAGCACTGGGCAGCTTCCTCAGCTCCAGAATTTTCTATATGAGAGGGACCTGGGGGTGGCAATGCCCTCACCCCTCTCCCCAAGCTAGATTTGCATACCATTTAACATGGCATTGGGGGAAAACATCACAAAAGTTCACATCAAAGCCTGGGGCCACCCACTGTGCCAGCCAGGATGGCAGGAAGGTGGCAGCCTCCTAGCCTGCCCTCAGATCTTAGATGCTCAAGGCCACCCAGCCCCCAGCAGCACCTGGGGAAGGTGTGGCAGCAGGGGTGAAGCCAGGTCAGTGCAGAGAGGGACCTGGCCCACTTTCTCTGGAGGCTGCAGGTTGTGACCAGCTTTACTGCCCTCTCCTGGGGGGCCTGGACTCAGAGCTGAGGCACCCTGATGTGGAGGAGTGACATCCCCCAACCCAGCCCCTCTGCCCACTCCCACCCAGCCTGGAAATAGTACCTTTGTCAAGGACGGGCCCGAAGATGGCCAAGCTGTCGTCAATGGTGGTGCAGTTCCAGCGGCGGCCCCGGAACTGGTGCTGGCACTCCTGGATGCCCAGCTTCACACCCTCAGCCACACTGGGCATGATTTCGATGTAATTGCGGCAGAAGCGCAGTTGCTTGGGGACCAGGCCTGGGATGGAGCCACAGAGCAGGGGCTGTGAGCCCAGGGACGTGTACTGCTGGCCCAGGGCCAGGGACCTGCGGGCAGACAGAAGGCAGTGGCACTGCAAGCACAAAGCACATGGCCCACTGTGGATATCATTTCTTCCTTGTGAGCACTCAGGGTAAGCAGAGCCACGGAGAGCCTGGAGCCTGAACCCTGAACCCATGGCCCTGAGAAACCTGGCACTTGAATGGGCTGCCTTTGACCTCGGGAGTACATTTCCACTGAAGGGCAGAATTCTGATCCAGACAATCAGCCCTCTGCTCTAGAGGGCATTTTTACTGTGCAGACGCCTGGGGACCAGTAGAAACCTCCCAGGGGAACACGTGCGGGAAATGCAACACTATGAAAAGAACCCTAAATGGAAAGATGACATTAGGGACCTTCCCATTTCCCTGATGGGCATTAAAGCGGTCAGGCTGGGAGTTTATGTTTCTAGGGCCACATGAAGAATCGGAAGGAAAGCAAATCTACAGAGATGAAAATGGCAGGAGCTGGCTTGATCCCCCCTCACATCTCAGAAAAAGCAGAGACGCCTCAGTCCTAGCAGGGAGCTTGCACACACATGTGCGTGTCTGCACATAAACATACATGCACATACACACAGGCCACCCTCGGCCATGCTCCTCATCCTCTTCTCTGGGAAGATGCCTGACCAGCCCGGAGCCTCCCAGTGTTTCCCCAGGTCCTCTGTCCTTTGTCCACCAGCGGCCTCTGTCACCATCTTTGCAGCAACCGTAAAGTTTCTGGAGCTCCATCTCTTTTCTCACCAAAGATTGGAGCTTGGCTTTGCTTCAAGAAAGTTAGCTCAGAGTCAGAAGGGAGAAGACCTTAGATCAACTTTCCCCGCCCAACACCATGTGACCTTTGTCAAATCACCTCACTCTTCTGTCTCTCATTTTTTCAATCAATATTCTATCAACCTCTCAGGTTTTATAGTCAACAGAGGAAAGAGGAGGAGGAACAAGAGTTTAAAACACTATACAACCAGGGTACTCTTTTTCCACTCTCCCCCACAGCACAGGAATAGCAGAAATGACATTTTGTGGGAGAAGCTGACAAAATGATCCAATAGTCTCAGTAGACCTCAAGGCCATTTGTGATCAGCCCTGTGATCACGGACAATGTGAACTGGAAGAAGGTGGGCATCAGGGCCCATCTCCTCTCTTTTTCTGTACAGCACTGACCAAGGCTCTGGTCTGGCAGCGACCTCCATCAAGTCCCCCATGCAAAGTGATGGCAGAAGCCTTGGGAAGAGGGTCCAGGAGACCCCAGGGGCATATCAGGGAAAAGCACACAAAAGCTTTCTGGACCAGACACAAGGATGATCCCAACATCTGCCATTTAATAGCTCTTACTGTGTGCTCATGGTGAGCACATGGAGGGCTGTGGTGCCCGCCACCGTGGGCCAGCTCTGGGCTCCCCTGTCAGAGGGAGAAGTTTGGACCCTCGTTTTTTCCACTGGGGAGGGATTGGGGAACCAGGTCTGGGGGTTTGGATGGTGACGTTTATGAGACATTTCCAGATCCTGAGCACTGAGCCTTTCAAAGAGAAGGAAGGGGCAACATGCAGGTCTGACTTACCCCTAACGGCTAATGACTGAATTCCTCCATGCCTGGCACTGGGCTGGGCCTCTTCCTTGGGTTTGCCTCAATTAATCCTTGTAATGACCCTATGACACAGGAGGATGATTCTAGCAGCCCTGTTTCCAGGTGCTTATCCTTACAGGTTGAGTAACCAGCCCAGGCCACAGAGCTAGTAAGGAGTTGCTCGTTGGAACCTGGCCATCTGACTACAGAGTGCACGGGGCAAACCAGAACCACCTGCCTTCTGGGCAGTGCCTGCCTGGGCCCCGAGGGACAGGAGTGACTGCTGGCCTGGCTCATCTGCACCCTGGGCCTAAAGACTGAACCTGAGTGATAGAGCTGGTTGGCCCAGAGCCCTCACGGGCACATGAACACACAGCATCTAACAGGGCCTTGCAGGCTGCCTTCTCCTGCCCCTGCCCTGTTTACAGTTATAAACTGATAATTGTCATAATGGTAACAAATACCGGTGGTTTATTATGTGCTGGGCCAGTTCTGAGTGCTCATGTCTCTTACCTTATGGAAACCTCATAGCAAGTCTGTGAGGTGTGAACTTCATTATCATTGTCATCATCCCATTTCATAGATAGGAAACTGAGGCTGGGGAGCTGGGAAACTGCCCAAGTCTACAGGACTGTGCAGTGTCAAAGCTGAGCCTCCCTCCCAGCTCAGGCTGCCATCCAGCACACTCTTAACCAGCACACCCAGCCCAGCCCTGCCCTGCAGCTGCCCCAGCAGCGCTGCAATCACTTGGGAGGGAGACCCTGCCAGGGTTCAGTGCAGATGACTCAGCACCAGGCCACCCCGAGAAGGATGGCTCAGGAGTGAGGCCCACCCTGGGAAGAAGGCCAGACCTGTCCCACTCCCTCCTCTCATATTTAGGACCCACAGCCCTCTATGCAGACAGCTGGAGAGGGGAACTGAGCCAGGCAGAGGCCGCTGCCCCTCATACCCCCACCTGGGTCTGGTTCTGAGTGTGGGGCCTTGAGGGCCCCTCCTAAAGGAACATAGTGATTCTTTGCCCCCTCTTCATACCCTGGCCTGGTCCCTGACTGTCCCAGAGCAGCATGGAGGCACCCAGCACCCACTGCCCAGCCTCAGTGTCCCCCTCCTTTGGTCAGAGCCCTCCCCAGTCTCCCCATCACAGGTGCCTCCAACCACACCTGTCCCTGGAGGTATGGACTGGCCCAGCAGTGCCCATACTCTTCTTCAGCCTGGCCTCCAGGCCTCACTGCAAACGCTAAGCCGGGCAGGCCTATCTCATGATCTCCTCAGGCACTAGGGCCTGAGGGCCCCTGGGGACACTTCTGTTACCCTTCCCTGAATCCCCTGTTCCTATTCTCCTTCCTCACTCTCTCCTGGCCTTTGCCCTATACCTGCTGGCACCTCTGCAGGCCCGGGCACTGTAGAGCTAAACTGGACCAGAAGAACCTACTAGAGGTGACTTTAGAGAGCACAAAGCCCATTACACAGATGAAAAAGCAGAGGCCCACAGACATAAACAGCTTGCCCATGGCCACACAGCCAGGTCTACAGAGCCAGGTGAGGCCGGCTGGCTCTTCATTTCCACTTGGTGAGGCTACTCCTCATCCCAGCCTCCACGGGGCTCCCTGCTCCCTGATTTCACCAATCCCCCAACCCAAGTGGGCTCCAGGCAGGCCTGGCCAGTGCAGCAGAATGCCTGGGCTCTGGTCTCTGGCTGGCAGAGTTTGGTCGGCTGCAAAGGCCAGAGCTGCTCCCCAAACATCTCCCAGTAGGGAGATGCCACGGTCCCCTGTGCTCCCCTGCAGGACACCAGGCCCTGACAGTGAGTCCTTCCTCCTGCACAGCTGCGATCTCTCCTCTGACCCAAGCATTTCCTCCTCCCTCTGCAGTCACATTCAACACTGGCAATCATAAGGACAAGCACTTACTTAGCACTTATATGTCAGGCACTGCACAAATGTTATGTCATTTAATCCTCAACAAGAGTTCTGTTGAGGTGGGTGCTGTCATCTGGGTTTTACAGATAAGGAAACTGAGGCAGAGAAATTCAGCAACTTACACAAGAAAGTGGCTGAACCAGAATCAAACCATAACTTTGACTCCAAAAGAGTGATACCCTCTGAGAACAGCTCCTAGCCTCAGAGATGAGTTCTTTCCACCAAAGCCTGTCTCCTTCTTGCTGTGCAACCGGGAGCCAGGCTGCCTGTGTTCAAATTCAGCTCTCCTGTTTCCTACCTGCTGATCTCAAGCACTTACTTAACCTCTCATGCCCCAGTTTCTCCATCTGTAAAACAGACATCATGGGAGGGATAAAGAAAGAGCTCCTGACACACAGGAAGCCCTTAAGTCATGATGGCCGTGGTGGTCCCCATGTGTTTAGGGGCTGTCCCCAGCACTTCATCCCCTGCCATGTCATCGACCTCATTCCTTGGCCCTCCCCATCCCTGACCTGACAGAACACATGAGAATTTTCAGATCCCCTTCCCATCCATCTCTGGGAAGGATGCCTTGGGTCAGAGCAAAGCCGGCCCCTTTCCCGGCAGCTCTGTCCTAACCAGGGTGGCTGAACAGATGTCAGTGATCTGGCCAAGTGTTAAAGGTAATAACCCAAGGGCAAGGGCATAAGGACATTTCCAGGATGCTCCATTCAAGGGTTTCAGCTCAGATCTAGACATCCTACTGGTAATTAGCAAGGGTCCCTGGGGATGGCGGTTTAGCTGTACAGGCTGGTGTTGGGGCTAATGAGGCTGTGGCTGTGGGGTTGATTTCTGCAGGATAGCTGCCCTCCCCCAAACGTGCCCTGCCACCCTGACTCTGAGCCTCCTTACCCACGCATGCTCATATCTGAAATTCCACCACCACAGATGCATTAACTTGACTCACAGCTCCTTGTCCCCATTACTGAAGTGTATAGTCCCCTGACAGAGGTCACACCGTGAGCCTCATTGTCTTCCAAAGTGTGAGTGGCCTTGAGTTATTTGTCCCGTCTGCTGGACGACTAGCAGCCCAGCTGTTTCACTCCTCCGTGTCTTTGCACAGGCCAAGCCCTCCACCCAGAGTGCCTCTCCACTGCCTAAGCTCCCGCAAACGTCTCACCCATCCTTCAACCTCCAATTCTTGGGTTGCCTCCATTTTAAAGACTTTTGTGGGCCCCTAGACAGGAGTAACCTCTCTATCAGTGTTTTTCCTCTGCCTTATTCAAACCTTCTTATCTCAAAGGGCTAGGAACTAATTTGTTTCCAATTTCATCTGGCTGTGCTAGTGTGAGTTCCCTGAGGATGGAGGCTGTGTCTCCTCCCATCCTCCCTCAACATCTCCCACTATACCAAGCAGACAGACAGACAGACACAGACACACACACACCCACACACTCACGAGCACTCAGCTGACCACAGGGCCAGGCACATGTGAGGTACTTGCTGATTCTCCAAGGAAGGAATAAAAAAACAACTCCTTCCCTGAAA